TACTGGTAAATAAGTTTGTGAAAATATATTGCATATGGAAAAAAAAGAAATTAGATTTAATGCTTTATTACCGATTTCTTTTCCTAGTTAAGCAACACTGACACAGAGATTACTATTAGACTCATACGTTACAATTAGAAGAATTAAAATTGATATAATAAAATAACCATTGAGGTCTGATGAAATTTTACTGATAAGCCAACCTCAGCATGCAATGAAAAAAATCACAGATCCATAACCATTAACTTGCTTAATCATGTGTAATTTCCTTTCACTGCCTCCCAGACCTCAAGTTTGAAAATAAGAATGATTTTGACGAAAGAAATAAGGATGATTGAAAAGTGTTTTTATTTGTAAAAAGGAAAGAAAAGTAGTGTCAAAAAGTCTGTGCAGACTAGTAGATTCCTGAGCACTTGAATCAACATGGTCTGATTGTGCATAGGTGTGAAGGGTGCACACTAACAGTATGCGTGGCATTTTAATTTCACTCACTTCTTCCTTATTAGGAGGGAGGGCAGAGTGGCACCTTATAAACTGACTTTTCAATGTGCTGCCCTGACCTGCCTTGCTATCTGCGTAACTCTACTTCTTTAGTGGATGTTGACACAGCACTATGAGAATCTCCCATTGATGGACCAGATCAAAGATGGCTTTCTCTACGCTTTGGGTGCTTTTCTGTTTCTGCCAGTTTTTGAATCCTAGAGCAGCCAGGCACCGGTGTGTTTTATTATGGTTGAATAATAATTCAAATGTTTCCTTTGTGGTTTATAGAAAGTGTTGTATTGTCAGATATGTAGTAAGAGAACTATATTGAAATGTTTGCTGTTTATGATTTTTGAAAGAGGTAGACTCATCATGAATTGCCTCCATTTTGTGTGTAGGATATTATCAGGTTTTGGCTGGGCAAGGGCATTGATGGATTTAGCATCAATGATGTTAAATTTCTTCTCGAAGCAACGAACCTAAGGGACGAACCTCAAGTGAATAAATCCCAAAATCCGGTAACATAATTTCTGATTTGACTTAATTTTTTTTCTTATCTTTGGTGATTCATTTTTCATTATTAAACTTCCCTCTAAAATGGGAATCACACTCTTAATTTGCTGTTTTGTATCAGCAGTAAATTCCACTTAGGTTTATAAAGAGCTTTGTATGAGGGAAACCAGTTATTTATACAACTTGCCTTTCTTTGGGGTTGTGGGTCCAGTACAGTCAGCAGGTGGTGCCAACACTGAGAGGAAGTACCATGGCTTAATAGACACAAAGATATGTGCGTAGACAAATCTGGTTGCTGTTGCAAGTCACAATGAGAATTTCATTTGCATTGTCTCCCTCAGCAATCAGGTGTATAGCTTGTGTCCTGTTTGTTAGTGCAAACTAGTGCAAAAGGACGAGACAAATCTATGGCTAAATGGTTGATTAATAGTTATTAAACAGAACAGTCAGAGCTGTATCCTCAGGCATATCTTAACCAACGTTGGTGGATACCAGGGACTGTAATGAACAGGAGAGAGATCACTCTAGATATGCAGGGTTCAATGCTCTCCCTTGAAAGCATCCACCCCTGCCAGTGTTGGAGACAGGTTACTGAGCTATGTGGACTGTTGGTCTTACCTAAGAATGGTACCTTTTATGTTCAAACAGAGTTATATAAATTACCTTTTGGGTGTTGACTCTTCCTTCTGTTTCTAAAATATTTACTCCCTCTTCTCGCATACAATTAGATTACATATTCAATGAGGTTTAGAAGTTTTAACTGTTGGATAGCTAATGGTGTAATATTATATTATTTTCAAGACTAGCATCACTGCATATTCTGAACTGTATCATGACTATACCAGCACTCAAGTTGGCATGCATGATATTGTCCGTGGTTTCCGGCACATTATGGATCTTTTTAGCAGTGAGCCCGGCCGATACAGGTAACAATATTTTGGCTATTGGTCTTCTCTTTTAATATGAAGCTGCCTTCTCACCATGGGAGAAGCAGGTCCTGTGTTATAACACATAGTAGTTAAGTTAAGACCTTCTTTTTTCTCCTTACTTAACATACCAGGTCATTGTTGGGTTATGAACACGGCCAATATTTATGGTCTAGGTTGGGACCTATTGTGTTTGTGCATTCAGGAGAGCAAAGAGCTATGAGGTACCTTCTGAGCCTGCTCTTCACAGTGAATAGTGTTGCAAAGTACCAATATTACATCTATTCTTAGGTATGTGGGCAGAGTGGACAGGGAAGACCAGGGCTCCATCTTCTCATAAAATTGTGTCATTATGCTAAGGGAAATCGTTCTAGTTATTGCTATGAAGGGAACTGGGATCGCAGAGACTAGATCCTCTGAATACAGAGAATTGTCCTATCCCATACACAGGACTCACGACAAGGTCATAATGAACTTTTATTTAAATACTTCCCATTTTAAATAGAAAGCAATGAGGGGAAGGAATTAGTACAATAATACAGTTCGTACCAATTTCAGTCTCTTTTTGTAGACCCAACAGAGGAAAATGGAGTCAGTTGTGTCTTTTATTGAGATATGAATTATGATAAAGACTTGTAACAGCTATTTTGGAAGAATACCAGCCATTTATATGATCCTTCGTACCAAACAAAATATTTGTGTCCCTATATAGATCATGAAGAAAAACAAATTCTTTTTGAAGACATGCTAAATTGTTAGATATGTTAGGGTCTATTCTTAGATTCATGCTTTCTTTGATTCCAGTTGCAATAAGAGTGAACACTGATTTAAAATTCTTTTAAACAAACCCACTTGTGCACTCCTCTATAGGTTTATGAGTACTGAGGCCAATGATCTGGAAAACATAGAAGAAACAATGATGTATTATGGAACATCTTTTGTCCGAGAAGCAGATTTTCCCTTCAACTTCTATCTCATCAACATGAAAAACCTCTCAGGCAATAGTATTTTTGAAACTGTGTCCTTGTGGATGAACAATATGCCTAAAGGAAAATGGCCAAACTGGGCGGTAAGTGTTTTGGTGTGTGAAAGGCCTGATCATGCTCGTAGAAGCTCACAGGAAAAAAAAAAACTTTGTGGGGAGCAAGATCAAGCCCTTAATAGTTCTGTAGCCACTGAATCTATGGAACCTGTCATATATCCTCAGGACACTGCAGTACTAGCTGTGGCTCATCCTTTTAATTTATTCTGAGCATATTTACATCCAGGTGTCAGTAATTTTGCCTAGCTTTCAAACAAGATCATCTAAAACGTTGCTTTACATTATCAAGGTGCTATTTTACTCCGCAGTCCCCAAGTAAATGGGAGAGGAGAGGCCATTACTTCCAAACCCACAGGCAGATTAGAAGTAGCTTGACGTGTACTATTTTAATTCTTGAACAGAAATAGAGGCTGTGACCCCCCACACATCATATATGGATACTGAATTGACCTAATGCTGGTTACATCTCTGCTTCTGATTTCCCCTTTGTTAGCCTGCGCTGCAGACCTAGCTGCCCAAGTCTACTCTCTTCCTAGATCCCTGCTTCCAGTACTTGTGAGTCTTTCACTGCCCCTGCTCTAAAGGGTGGATATGACCCTCGCAAAACCCTGCCTTACCTAGGCAACAAAAGAATCATAAAAAAAAATGCACTCATGGAAACATGTGAGAACTATGAGGGTGTTTGCATTAGAATAGAAGATACTGTTGATTGAGATCCTAATGTATCATTGCTTACTGCTGTCATGCTGTTGGCACTGTCTCTAGACTTCACTTGTGTTGAGTAGAACACACCAAAATAAACAAAGTAATAAAATATTTCTCCCTGAGGGGAAAAAAAGAGAGAGAAACCTGATTAATTTTTTCTAAACTGTTTGCACTGCCAGGGTTGGATATAGAAAGCTTTTGAAAATTCAAGGGGAAAAGCTGATAAAATATGTCAGTATGTTAATTGAAACAGACTGTGTCTAGTGTACTTGAGTAATAGAATGCATCCTAAGATGTAAATTTAACATTTGGTTAGAACTGCTTCTAAGTTCATTTGATAATTTTCCTTAATATGAAAAGATCTTTCTTCCATATCCTGTGATAATGGAACAGTTTGTTGCCATTATTCTGCAGAAAGCAACATATCTGTTGGGGAGGAAAACACTATGAAAGCAGTTATGCTTTGAGCAATTTGACTGCAAAGCATGGAAGTGATTGGACATTACAGTAGTGTGAAACCTCTTCTGGGGCTACTGTCTATCTGGCACTCTTACCTTGCATCACTTAATAAGGGAAATGTAGGGCCAGAGTCTGCTCCATTTCACCACTGTAAATGAAGATAAATTCCAATAATTTGAATGAATGAATCCAAGTTTATACTGATTGTAAGTGGACAGAATTTGGCCCACAGAGTGTTTTTCATTAAACTAGTTTCTTATGCAATTATTTAGTGCTATTGTGTACCTTAGCTCTGCGTTTAAATATAATAGACTATTCTTGCTTAGGTTGGAGACCCTAACAGTGTTCGGGTTACGTCTCGAATTGGGAAAGAGTACCTTAATGTGATCAACATGCTCCTTTTAACCCTTCCTGGTACACCTACAACTTACTATGGTGAAGAAATAGGAATGGAAAACATTGCATCAGAAAATGTGAGTGAAGACTCTATAGATGATTCAGGCTCAGTGCATCCTGGAGTTCCCGGGGATGATGTGCTTCTTCACAGGGGCCTCCTCATAGGCAAGCCATTATGTGCCGCAGAAGTCAGTCTAGGCTGACTACACATTCTAAACCTACCAATTAATTCATATATCACAGGAAGCACACATATGGACTTTATAGTCCTACTCTCAGAATCAAAGCACTAAACTGAGTAATTTTTTGATCAAACTCCTGGGATTCTTTTAAACTCTTTAGCTCAATGAGCTGCTCTAGGAATGGGGCTAGTTTACTGAAAATTGGCAACAATTACTTGCTATTTTTCAATGAGTGATCTATCATTTCCAGCAGATCTGGTCACCTTTCAACTAGGATAGTGTGAAAAACCTTTGAAAATACTTGAAGAAGTTATTGCCCATGGCTAGTTACTTTACCCCACGAAACACTTTGAGTTGTTAAGAATTTATTCCTCAATATTTTGCATAAAAAATAGCCTGCAAACTTCCCTCTTACATTTGGCACGTTTAAACTTAAGACTTGATCTAAGCTCCACTGAGGCCAACAATATTCTTTCCATATACTATTTTGGACTTTTGGATGAGCTGTTAGATGGCTTCTGGAAACATGACCTGAATAGATTTTAGGCACACTTTTTTTTTTTCAAAGCACAGTTAAACAGATTGAGATTAAATCTGGAAATTCAAGTCAGTGCCTGGCTGAAAAAAACTAGACCTACTTTTTACTTCAGAGGAAATCCTAGTGGATGATATAGAAATGTATTGTAAAGGAGGTACGTAATGGAAATCTTTGATTCCCATCATTAGTGGGCTGCTTGACATATTGCCCTAAGGCAAGGGCAGGCAATTATTTTAGGTGGAGGACCGCTTACCCAGTTTTGGCAAGCTGTCAGGGGCTGCATGGGTAGCCCTGCCCCTTGAAAGGTGCCCTGCCCCTTGCTCACCATCTTGGGACCAATGTTCCAATGTCTTGGGACCAATGTCCCAGAGCCAGCACTGGTGGGGCCCAGAGCGGGCCGCAGGCTGGCAGGGGTCTGTGAAGCTGGGCTGGGCCGGGTTTTACCAGCAGGGAGAAGGGGGAGCTGGCCCGGCTCCACAGAGCCCCTGCCACCTGGGACCCTGTACTCCTGCTGCCCTACTCTGGGCCCCGCCAGCACTGGCTCCAGAACACCGGTGTGCACCCCACACTCCCACTGACTCCTGTGCCTTCTCATTCCCAGTGTCCCACTTAGCCCCAGGGTACAGGCAGGGGACAGCGCACAGCCCTGACCCCACGCTTGCCTGCAGGGAATGAGCTGGTGCTGAGCGCAGGGAAAAGTGGCCCCTCCCCCACCCCACGGCCCGCGCTCCCTACTGCAGCCACTTGCAGCCCATGCAGGGCTGTCCTGAGCAGGCACAGGCAGCCCCATGTGGGCTGCAAGCAGCTGCAGCATGGGGTGCAGGCAGGGCCACTTTTCCCTGCGCTCAGCACCAGCTTGTAACTCACCCCTGCTGCCAGCCTGGGCCCCACGCCAGCTCCAGGCTTGCCTGTCATGGCTGTGTTACAGTGGGAGAAGCTGTGCCCCCCACTTGCCATGCCAGGCAGTGTTTGCTGTTGCTGCCTGCCCAGAGCTTGCACCGCTGTAGGCTGCAGTGCAGCTGCCACTGCTGCCTCTGTGCAGCCCAATGTGGGAGTTCTGGGCAGGCAGCAGCAGCAAACGCAGCCTGGTGTGGCAAGCAGGGGGGCACAGCTGCTCCCACCGTGACACAGCCCTGACGGGCAAACCCAGAACTGGCATGGGGCCCAGGCTGGCAGCTGGGGTGAGTTACAAGCTGGTGCTTAGTGCAGGGAAAAGTGGCCCTGCCTGCATCACGTGCTGCAGCCACTTGCAGCTCACATGGGGCTGCCTGTGCCTGCTCAGGACAGCCCTGCATGGGCTGCAGGCAGCAGCAGCAAGGCGTGCAGGCCACGGGGCGGGGGGGGGCTGCTTTTCCCCGTGCTCAGCACCAACCCATTCCCTGCCTGTGGTCCTTCCCCTCCCCCCCCGACCTGAGTTTCTTGTGATGGTGCAGCCACGAGGAGCCACATAGTCCCAGGCCAGAAGCCCCTGCTGGGGTTTCCAGCTGTGGGGGTGG